TCTCTTTTTCTCTCTTTTTATTTTCTTATTATTTATTATTAGTTTAATTTAGTCTGTAAAAGCAACTCGCTGGTTTCCTGTATATCTTGCGAGGCAAAGTCATCCAGGTCATTCTCGAACAATGTCAGATGGTTTTTGCGGTCTCCATCTGCCTTTAGCAGGTCTTGGAGCTTCTGTCCAGGACCGTCGCCAAGGCTCGTGACAAAGTCTTGAATCTGTGGACGTTTCTCCAACAGATGAGCCAAGATCTTGACGTTGCTCCTCAATGTCTAGATGACAAGTTAGTAAATCCACGATTGAAGAGATGGAAAGTATGACTTGCCGTTTCCATTGACCGCTGGAATGCCAGTTCAATATCTGTCCACGGAAAGACAAAGATGCAATTCTCACCAAAAATGTCAACAAACATTTCCAGACGCTTGCCCAACTCGTACACGCTCTTCCACTTTGCTTCGTCGGGCGCAGTGTTGATTTGGTTGCTGGCCAACACGTTGAGTTCCTGACTCTCCAGGATCGCAAACCGTCGACAGCAGTCGCCGACTGCCTTGTGGTTGGGGTTGCCAGCAGCGCCCGGCTCAGCCTCGTAATTCTCAATCATCTCGCCAATCTTTCTTGAGATTGCGAGTGCCGCCTGAAAAGCAAGTAGCTTGGTGATTGGACTTTCGTTGTAGTTGTAAATGCGCATGAGCCGAACCATTTCGTTCGCTTGTTCAGACTCTTGTGGCACACTAGGGCCATTGGCTGCAACAAATGCTCTAGCTCGTTGGCGGATGAGACCAATCAAAAAATGCCTGCCAAAATAATGGAGCAGTTCATGAACACGATGGGCAATCACCTCAGAGTCTTTGATTTGAGTCATTGTGGCGTAGAGATGGTGTATTGTGCTGGGAGGAACAATGAGCTCTTGATTGTAGTCTGAGACTGTTGGTAACAGATCCGTAACCGTGGTCGGAAGGACTACCCTCTTGCGCTTGAGAGGAACCTCCGTGTTGGAGACCTCCTGTACGGGTTTGGTGCCGTGTGCTGCGGAATTCTGGCAGAAGGGTGTCGAGGATTCTGCAACAACAGAACTCTCGTTATCTGTTGTGGGATCTTGAGCGCTAGTCTGTGAGCTGTCCGATTGGTGTTTATCAGATTTCTCGTGTTGTGACGTGCCGATACCAGAAGGAGTCTCCGCGTTGGGGGCTACCGGTTCAGCACATTTTTTTCAATCATCTGGACCGCCAAAAGTTTGTCTGACTGGTATGAGAGTTTCCTGTCAGTGACAGCGTGGCGTTTCAAGTATGATGTCTACGAAAACAGAGCACCCAAGACTAGGCGGGCTGCTCCCTTCTGGGCCAAGTGGTATCCCGCACAAAGCCCCAGGTTTCTTTCGCCCCCATGTCGTCACAGTTCTGACAAGTATGGGCTCCTATATGCCCGGCTACTATGAATGACGTTTAGAAGATGAATATTCTTTCTATTTATCCCGCTTGCTGAAAGAATAGTGACCCAGCAACACCGAGTGCTCGAATTGGGTTTATGATGTACTCAATTTGACACGCTGGTATTCCGATAGGGCTGGCAAAAATCTAAGGGATTGCGTTTGGTGCGAATCGGCCGCTTTAAACCCACAGCCGATAGATGCTATTCTCGCTAAACTTGAGTGTCTTCAGCTAAGCAAACAAACCGAACAAAGCCATAGACTCCTCATTCCAATCTCCCATCAAATCCTCCAGATTTTCGCATATTTCCGACATGTCTTGATTAACTGGAGCATCATTTCTTAATTCCTGCCATGAATCGAACAGTTCTTCTGTTCCGGGTGAGCAATCTACCACCCGATCGACATATGATGTGGTTGCGCGTCGACGTTGTTGGGCACAGCAATGGTGCCGGTAACGTATAGCTTTTGTAACATCTTTCAAAATCTCATAATACTGCTTGGCATATGGGCTGCATGCAGATTCACCACGCAAGAAACCAATGCCCAGTTCAAATGTTGGCATAGTCTCGAAAGCTCTTTCCGGCTCGATAAACAGCGAGAAGCCTAGAGTCAGTGCAGCTTCAAATGCCCACACTCTTTACAGTAGGAAAATTGCAGTACACGTCAGTTATGCCGTCCCAATAAAACAACAAAAGATGACCTACTTGATAAAACATGTGTTTGGCAAGAGTATGTTTGTCTTTGCGGCATTGTGAATCGTCTCACTCATATAGGTAGCGGAATCAACGCATGCAGTATAGAGATGATTTTGCGAGGTTGACTCATCCCCTGGATGGGGCTCTGTCAATCGGCTGTCTGACAATGACTTTTTCGATGATTCTCGCAAGGCCATTCCAACCTTTGCTACGAGAAAGGGTCGCGTCGTGAGCATTACGGCGTGGTAGTACAGAAGTGCTACCCTCAAACTCGCTGTGACTGATTGACGATCTTGATCTGGTATTTCACCCTGGACGGCACCAGCCTGTGGTATTGGCACACGTAGCTGGGGAGGTAGTGAGAGTCTCCAGTCTGTAAGCTCCTGTAATACCCGCTCAGCAAAGGCGAAAGATGTTTCCCTTTGGATGTATATACGGTCCAATATTTCCCGAAGAATCTTGGCTAATCGAAATGATGCTTCTAGAGCGAGGTATCCCATGTCGAAACAAGGTACACTTCTAACAACAATCTCTCGTGGAAGTTGGCGGAACAAAGCGACAGCAGGCGGCCTTCCCAACAGTGATGATACCATCACGTCAAGAACGCAAATACTTTTCCACAATGACAGTCTAAGATGTCTTCTTAGTGCAACAGGTCTTGTACCGATATGCGGTGGAGAATTTCTTACGAGGACATTGCTGTCGTTGCCTGTTCGCTGTTGTAGAATGACACATGGTGAAGACCAAGAGTATGGGCACCCCTGGCGGCAATTCCCAAGTACATATACGCGGCATTCCTTCGGTAAGCTGTCAGCAGGTAGAAGGCCATCAAAACTGACATCTGTGTTGTCTTTAAAGTGGGCATAAGCAAACATTCAGACCGGATTGCACGATATGCTGCACGAGAGAAGGCCTTGGCATAGCGCTGGTTGGTTTCGTCCTGGACTTGAGATTGGGCGCCAATGGCAATGGGCAGAGCTACCATGGGCGATATCAGTGACAAGTCGTTGCCTTGTTGGTCACACAGCTGGGAAATCTTCTCTATGAGGTCATCTCTGGAAATAACATGGAGAACGCCAGTGGTCTGGACGAAGGTCAGTGGCTGAATCAATCACGCACGTATCGGACGATAATGAAGTGAGTGCGTGTGTGGGCGGCGTGTGCGGGAGTGTATTTGCTTACAGCAATAAAGAAGAGATCAGTAAATTTGGTCAGCTTGTCGAAAAGGAGTAGGTCTTTCCATTCATCGCCAAAGCCGTGGGGTTCTTCAGCTTCAAAAAGCACGTCAAATCCGCCAACATCAGGCTCGAAATTGCCATCGCGTCGCGCAAGAGCCTCGCGCAAGAGGCGTAGGAAAGAAAGCGGACCAGACGGTCCAATATAAACTGGACATGTATGTGAGTATCCATGCATCGGTCATGCCAGTATAAAAAGAACCAACATTTGTTACTTTCCGGGCTGTTGTGCAAATGTTCGGGCTGTGACAATGGCGTTGCAATGCTCGGCAACTGGTTCGAGGGGCTTAGCAAAGATGCTTGTGCATGGCTGGGCCGTGTTGTTCTTGTTGATGGAGCCGTTGTGCTAAGGGAATCGTCATCAGGACTGACATCCGCAGCTTTGCGGATGCTGGAGGTGCCTGGCGCGGATGATGGTCCGCCGTGCGGGAGCAGCTGGTCACGGTAGTCGCAATTCTTGGTCTTGTGCTGGCGGATGCATCTTGAGCAGTAGGGCCGTCGTCCATCGCACCTTCGTTTCGACTTCTTGCAGACCTCGCAAGCTTGTTCAATGCGTCGACGGGACTCTGGCCGCACTTTTGATCGAGCCATGGTCCAACGAGTTGCGGATCTTTCTTTGTAGTTTGACTTATGGACTGCTGTACTCGCTGTGCGCGGTTGGTGCAAGATAAGGAGACGCCTGGGAGCAAATGTGGAACCACAGATTAGGCCTGCGGTCGCCGGCGAGTGACCAAATAGCGCTCTCAAGAGCTACTCTTGCTTATCTCTTGTGCTAGTAATCTGGACAAGATGCCGAACCTAATGGTATACTGCTGAATCCCCCCCGAGATTACGGGATTCAGGCACTAAGAAACGCAGTACTATTGGTTCAACCTGATACTTGTCGGAGGGCTTTTGATCATTAGCAAATCTAACCTAATACAGTCGGCGGGTCGCACACCTGGTACATCTCCGAATACTGTCTACACTCTTTTCCCCTCCGATCTTGACGACTGCGTACTTATGCTGCTTCTCCAATTCCTTGCCTATCTCGATGTAATTTCCAACTGATTGGCTTGGCCTGACCTTCGGTGTCTACTAGGTAGTAGGAATGTAGCTAGCGCGCAGGCTTGGGTAGCCTTACTGCTGCGGTCAAAAGCGCTGCTCCAAGAGCTACTCCAGCATTGATGAAAAATACCATGCCAGATTTGCCCACGACTGCAAATGCCGAGAATACCGACCCAAAAACAGCCACTAGATATTTGTTAGTTGACGCGCACAGCTAACAAGTGGGATCTTCTTGACAACACAGCTCTCTCTCTTCCTCTCTCCCTCCCACACTTACTCGCCGCTACAGTTGCTAGCATTTCCAGCATCGCAATGCCACTTAGTGCATCTACCCTCTCCCAGGGTTTACAAAGCGAGGTCATGACCCCTTTTGCAGCTGGTGCGGATCCAGAACCCAGAGGCAGTAGTACAGCAGCTATGGGCAATCACAAAAGTTAGAGACCTGTTGACGGGCAGAATGGGCAGTTAAGCGCCTTACCAAGGTACAAGTGTGCTGTGTCTCGTGAAAATACAGTGGCCGCCGTGAGAATCGCATCGATTGCAAAACTCAAAGTCACGAACCAGAGATCAAATGTTGTTTCCAGGCGTTTAGGAGATGGCGGCTTTGGACCCAACAGAGGAGCAAGTTCTTCCTGTTGGCGACTGTCCGAAATCCCTGTTGAGACTGTGTTGTTGGCTGTGCCATCAGAAACAGCTTGTGTCGTTTGATTGCTCAACCATTTCCGCCCTATCTTGATAATGTAAGGCAAGGCCAGTGTGAGGTAAAGGCTCCGTACTCCAAAATTCAGTGCCATGAGGTAGCCGTTCTTTCAACAGTAATTGGTTAGATTTGGCTTTTGCGGTTAAGGATATATAGATTCCATTCATTTGACTAACCTCTCTTGAGCTAAATCCGAACTCATTGGTCGAATACATTTGCAATAAGATTGGTATGAAGCCCGTGGCCAACTATATGAAATCAAATATTGTAAGCTGTGGTCGAACTTCTTCATACGTGTACCTGAATCAAATACAGGCTTTACTCACCACACCAAAGAATACGCCCGAGCTAAGCAGCGGGCGTGCAGAACAATATTTATCACTCCCGGGCATCTTTCGAGAGAAGACAGACAAGAATGGGAGAACTAGTTTCGAAATCATGTTGCTTGACGTATTTTCCAAGGTTTCTGGTTGCGATAGCTTCGGGAGGGCGAGGGCGCTGAATAAAGTAGATACTGCCATAATAACACAGGCGACCTCGAAAGCTGCCATCGTACCAAACGCATCGGCAACAACTCCTCCCACTGCCAGGAGATTTTATCAGCAATTACCAGTACATGTTTAGTGAAGAAAATGATTACGCAAATACGCCATGGCAGTCCCCATCATGACAGATCCTTGTAGACGACCGAAGGCTACTGTTTGTTCAGAGTCTGGTACAACTCGAGATATAAATGTATTCAAGATGAGTCTTGGATCATTATCAGTAATAAAGAGCTTTGATCCGAGCATTGTATCAGGAATATACTTACACATAACCGGTTGAGCCGCCCACAACACCGAGAATATTCGATATCTGAACGAGGAGAATACCCCGAGCTCCACCGACGTGAACTGTTATGAACCGCATTAGCCGATGCGAGAAAACAAGAACGTCGGGGAAGAACAATAAGACTTTACCTCCATACAGTTGCATCGCGAGACGGATGGTGGGACCAATCAGTTGTTGAATCAGGACAGATTTGATCCCGAAACTCTTCATGCTCCAGTTAGCGAAGAGCAAATTAAAAACTCCTAGTGCATGTCAGCTTGGGACAAGTTCAGGGACCATGTCTCATTACCGTTCACTGTGACAGTGAGCCCAAGTATAGAGACGGCCTTTGCTACAGTGGCCTCGATTTCGTGGACATCACACCTATCTCCAGCGCCATCGTATGTAGGATGATGAAGATAATACTCATCACACGCCATGAGGCGAAAAGCGTATATGATCCTACTCCCAGCTCCATTTAGTAAAGCTCTTTGAGCAGCGAAATCATCAGCGGCTTACGGAACACGTGTAAAATTAATGCCCACTGACACCATGAAAGCACAGATGTACAGCAGGTGCGCCGTCAATGAGCCACCAGGTTGACGACGATTCTTGAAATCCATATTGCTCTGATCTGGCACGGCGTAGGCTATTGATTCAGTCTAGCATGCAGTAGGAAAAGGAACTTCTGTTCCACATAGACCAGAAGAAAATTAAATGTCAACTGAAATAGAAAGTTATGGATGTTTCCAAACATTTGTATCTAGTGCGGAACGGTTATCATCATGTCCTCCACAAGATGCGGATTCACTTGCCGCATGGTGTGGAGACTATGCGGCTATCCGCACACTTTTGGCGGCACGCCGCGGATCATGCTGCATCCGACCCTGCTCTTTTAAGGTGATGGTTATTGTTCATCTCTGAGTGTAGGGTCATGCAATACTTTCACACGTTTTTAAGCCTTGTCGCATATGTTAATCACCACTGTCAATAAGAAAATCATGCGTCTCATCTTGCTTCTAAGCCTGTGGGCTGGGGTCATCAGGGCCGATGGCCAATACAAGTCTCGGCCTGATTTATCACCCCCACGTCTCAACATTACAACCCCGGCCACACAGGACGTTGATGATGGCTACATCTTCATCTGCCCATACAGTGGTTTCAAGAAGGGCAACGGTCTTGATGGTCCTGAGCAACCTGCTGGTTACATCTTTCGCAACAATGGCGACCTGGTGTGGTCCAGCATGGGCTACCTCTCCGGCTGGGTTGGTAACATGCAGGTCTCTGTGTGGAAAGGCGAACCGGTCATTTCTGCCTTTCAAGGGACACTGGATGCCGTTCATGGTCACGGCTTTGGTCACCCCACAATATTGAATCAGAATTACGAACACGTTCGTGATCTACATGGTGGTAATCACAAAATCATCTCGATTCACGAATTCAACATACTTTCGTCAGGTTCTGCCCTCATTGAGGTATATCAGCCAACCCAGATGGACTTGTCCGCTTATGGAGGCAGCGATGCATCACAGTGGATCGTGGACGGTATCTTCCAAGGTAAAGCCATGGCGACACATATCTTTCAATAAGTACGAGCTGACATGGAATTTTTACAGAACTTGACCTCGACACGGGCAAACTTTTGTTCGAATGGAGTAGCCTGGAACATGTTGACCCCTCTCGTAAGCCTTTCCTTGTGTCCTATCTGGCTTACAAAAACTTGACATCTTTATAGACAGCGCAGTGAGCCTGAGCTCAGGTCACGCTGGTGATGGCCAGAACTCAACTTCCGCATGGGATTACTTCCATATCAACAGCGTGGACAAAGGTGACGATGGTCATTACTTGATATCCGCTCGTCACGCCTCAACTCTCTATAAGATTCATGGTGGAACCGGAGAAATCATTTGGCAACTGGGAGGCGATAATTCTAACTTCGCATTTTCAAATGATTTACTCTTTGGATTTCAGCACGATGCCAGATTTGTTTCGCATCTTTATGATGCTGAAGACGGCGTGGAGTATGTATCTTTATTCGATAATGCCGCTCGTGCAAACGGCCATCGTGGTGGTGGAGTCGAAACTGTGCACTCCATGTCTCGAGCCAAGGTCATTCGCCTCGACGCGTCCACCTGGACAGCCTCTCTCGAGGTTTCGCTATCCGCACCGGATCACAAACTCGCACCATCCCAAGGCAACGTCCAGACTCTGCCCAATGGCAACTACTTTGTCAACTGGGGCCAAGGCGGAGCGGTCACGGAATATCGGGCGGGCGACGGAGAGGCGATATTTCACGCCAATCTGGATTCCGGCGAGATCGGCGAGGGCGTGCAGAGCTACCGTGGGTTCCGTTTCCCGTGGGTTGGGCGGCCACACGAGGAACCTGCCATTATGGTTGATGGAGGATCGGTCTACGTATCATGGAATGGTGACACCGAAACAGCCACTTGGAAGTTCTACGCCAAGTTTTGCAGCCCGCGGGCAGGTAAAAAATCCCGCTCAGATCGATTCATCGGAAAGAGCCAGCGGGTGAGCTTTGAGACGTCATTCGATCTGCCGCAGGACATGCTAGTGGACTTTGGCGGAACATGCATATATGCAGTGGCTCATGATTTGGATGGCAGACGTCTTGTCGCAACAAAGACAATAGCGTCGAATGTTCATGGCGGGCCACAGAAGAGTAACGCCAATATCGTTCAAGAGGCTGTACAAAGTGTTCTGGCCTTGGGCGAGCTCAAGTAGATAGGTTGATCACGACAACATCCTTCATATTAGATAACAGAGTTGTATCTAACGATCTGGAACGAGGCCACGAACTTCATTGGAGTTAATTTTGGTAGTGCGTCCCGATTTGAGGGACAGGCCATGGGCTCCTCTCGGCGAAGCAAGAAGTAACTCCTCAAAATATGCCATCGCAGGCACCATACTCGACCGTCTCATCACAGGCTGTCAAGGAAGACATTTTGAGCGCCAACAGCGGCACAAAGTAATCAACAAAAATAATAATCTATTTAGCACATGGAGCGCATGCTGTGGCAGTATGGAATTGTCTCTATTATGGGTAGAAAACACGCATGAATGGTTATGGGCGGACATGTCATCATGTTTCAGCTAGGCTGTACAAATCACCAATCAGATGCACTGCTTAGATGTGCCATGAAGCATGGAGAAAGAGTCTGAGGATACATTCATGACCGATGATGCATCCGCTGATGATGCGTGCGACTCCGTCGTGTCTTCACCCAAGACCAGAAAGAGACAAGATTACGTGCCCACTAGGCTTCTGTTGGTATAATACCTGGTCGATAACCCGACATCCACTTCCGCACATTAGTGGGTATTCCAGCCGTTTGAGTCTTGGCAGTGCGGATAAGTCTCGTTATCGAGCACGCGATTACAAGTCTATCTAGTAATTGCGGATAGTCGTCGTATCAAACGCAAAGTTGATATATCGGATAGTCCATGAACGCCTTCCGCAGCACGCATCTTGTTACAACCCAGTATCAGCTGGGTAGAGTCGTCACTATCTTGGTTGGACGTATTCGAGTATAATATTGAACCTTCCTTGATGACAGACATGTGTGATACTCGCCACAGATATTCCTGCCATTTCTGTGCTAACTTGAGAAAATGTCCCATGAATCCAAGGTTTTCAGGCGCAGTTCCGAGATGGAACTTGATGCACCGGAACGCGGCGTCATTATCAGCGCCGACTGGAGCATCAAGGAAGAGAATAATGCGAGATGGAAGTGCGTCATTTCTCAAGCTAAGAATCTCTCCCGCTCTCGCTGAATCAAAAAATTACTAATGTTATTGTACTCTGATGATTGTAGAGTCGATATTTACCTCATGCCTCTAATGATTCTCGGCTTCTTTGCCTTGCAAATCGATCGCGCGAATATCGGAACAGCGCTCACATCAAGCATCACTCAGGATCTTGGGATCACAACAAACGAGATCAATATCGGAAATCAGTTGCTATCTTTGGGCATTTTCCTCCTGGAGATACCCTCGAACATTCTACTGTTGCGGGTGTGTCCCCCTGGTGCTTGCCTGCACAATCCGAGCGCCTGATATCTAATACTACTTTGGCTAGGTCGGGCCCCGTCTTTGGCTGTCTTGTCAGATCATCGCCTGGGGTCTGGTAGCAACCTTCCAGGGTTTTATCAATTCATATGGATCGTATCTAGCCACCAGGATGCTTCTGGGCTGCATGGAAGCTGGATTTATCCCAGGTTAGTGGATACCATTTTGTTTTCATGATGAATGCCAGTGCTTTTGCTGATTAGAAATAACTTACAGGCTGCCTGTATTTTATGGGAGGCTGGTATAAAAAGAATGAGAGTCGCGTTCGGGTGATAACCTTTTACATCGGTCAGAATTTTGCCACGGCAACTTCGTCGCTGCTGGGTGCAGGTTTACTCAAGCTCGATGGTCACCTCGGATTGCCTGGGTGGCGGTGGCTATTTATCGGTATGTGATTTACTGCCTAGTACAAGTGCTCGTGGTTGGTCTTCCTAACCCCAATATCAGTTGACGGTTGCATCACGATATTCATCGGCCTGGTCTTTGTTCTATTCTTACCTCCATCTCCCGATAACGGAAAGCCCCTGATCAGTTTCGGTAGATGGAGCTACTTTACTGAAAAGGAACAGTACGTATTGAAGAATCGTGTGCTTCTTGATGACCCCAGCAAGATCCATGGCGAGAGAGCCCATGTTGGTGCTCGGGATATCTTGGCGTTCCTTAGAACACCAAAGAAGTGGATGCATGTCCTAATCACCATGACTTCGGTTTGTGCGGTTCATAGCCTTAGCACATACAGTCCCAAAATCTTGAAGTCGGCCGGATTTGAAGCTACACAGGCAAATGCTCTTTATTCTGTGTCGTCGTACACAGCAATTTTCTTCAATTTCACATTGGCGTACTTTGCGTGAGTTGACCTGAAAAAGCGTTTTACTTTATCCTCACTAACACAGCTTAGCGACCGGACTGACCACACAGGACCCTTTATACTCTTTGCCGCGTCTTGTAATGTGATATCTTACGCAGTTCTTCGAAACCTCGATGTTTATTCCAAGTGGTCCAAATACGCGTCTCTAATCGTGGCAGGTATACCATATTCAGCCGTCCAGTAAGTTCTCAGGGCATTTAACTTTCGGTTATAGCCTATGAAAACTATGACTTCATGAGGAAGCTCAGATTATGCTTTACAAGTACTAATGGTCAGCAGTGCATTGAATGTTGGATGGATGGCTAATAGTTACTCGAGCATACAAGACCGAAGTGTGTCGTCGGCGTAAGTTGTGCAGCCCATGACAACATGTATCCGGATGGCTTCCCGCTGACTCATCTGCGGCTCTCCAGATTCATCATTATGGCTTCTAATCTTGCTGGCATTCCTGCTGGTCAAGTCTTCCGGGCAGATGATGCACCATTTTACAAACGTGGGGCAACAGTGCTTACGGCGCTCGCTGGGCTTTGTTGGGTGCTGGTAGCAGCGTTGGGACTTTGGCATCGCAAAGAAGCAAGATCACTGAAAACAGTAATCACACAGCTATAAAGGCAACCTGCGAGTTCCACTAATTCGAACTTTCGTTTAATTATTGTCAGGTGGTGGATGATGGGTCCCTTACACCAAGGGTACCAGAGTGTCCTGTAGCACACTGATCAGTGCCATAGCGTCCAGATAGGCATACAGAGGGCTCTTAGGAATTGACCGCGGTCACCCAAATAAGCCTGCAACTCGTCAAAACTTAGAGACAGGCAATATATATCACGTCAATACATCACACAATCAACGCCCCTAACAAACCAATTCATACTCCGAAAGGAAGCAACACCTTAATTAATAATAAAGACTATTATTCGCTTTATATAAATTACTTATGCGTTAATAAGTGAATTAACGAATTATTTATTAAAAAGAGAAAAAGAGAAAAGAGAAAAAGAGAAAAAGAGAAAAAGAGAAAAAGAGAAAAAGAAAAA